GATAAGATCTACAAATAAATCAGCATGGCTGCAATTGTTGATAGACTCCTTTTCGGAATAATTGCCATTGAAAGATGATTCTTACCCATAAATAGATTTTTTGCAGAAGGTATAGTAGATGAACACTGTACATAGCAGAAATTATCAGCAGGAGAATATCCACTATTATGTCATCGAGCCTGAAATCGGTATTGGACTCCTTATAGGAGTTATTGTCCTCGGATGAGCATTTTAACCCTTTTGCTAGAACTATAATAGTTAAGAGGCATCACCTAACACTAGTGCAGGGAAAATAAAGGAAGATAACACATTAATTTGCTTTGATTCCTAACATTAATCTTATTAACCTTAGGACATGTAACAGCGTCGTTTAAAAGGTTTACTTGTGGAAGAGGAACACATAAATAGTCTTTATAAAAATAAAAAGATATTGTATGATTGCCAATGAGACAACTCTCCCCAGATACCATATGACATAGAAAGTAAAAAAAAACTATTATAGGTCATCGTAAGGCTTCTATTATGACAAATGTAAAACTGTTCAAATGAGAAAAATTACGGTCTGATATATATGTACAAAACAATAATAGAGATTAGCAAAATTTTATATTTTCAATAATCTGGTTTAATTCAATCAAATATTTGTGTGGGTGTTGCACTGTTTAGCTCATTGCCATGTATGGCATCGCCATAGATGGCGCTCTCACATGCAATTTAAATTTTGGAATTCCCGTAGCTGGCACTTGTTAATTTGTTGTCGACAACGAAGCAGGTGCTGCAGGAAATAGTTTATTTAATTAAATCTAAAAGATGCCAAAGAAAAGAAATGTCAGGGGATCGCCATCAAGGCCCATTGGAAAGAAGAGGAAGACGACCAGCAGGGAAGATGGACATGGAGTTAGGTCCGTGAACATGACACAAAAGAAGGACGGAGTTGGACGTTAAAGAATGGACAGGAAAAGACAGCAGACGGAGGTCGAACACGTGGAGACACAAGGACAAGAAGAAGCTGACATATTATCAGGTAATGAGTCGGACGAGGATGCACGGGCATTCCCCCTTTTATGCACGACCCGTCACACACAAATTTTGAAATGGCACATAAAACAATTGATTTCACCCCGACACAAGAGACTAGCATTCATGACACAGTGGGGGAACACGTTACTTTTAAGATTAAGGAAAAGATTTGGGAGGGAAAGTTTATTGAGCTACATTTTCTTTTGAGAGCACAGAAAGAAATGGAGGAGGTTGACGAGGGCGATTTAAAATTAAAAAGGGGGAAAATTTGCATTGAAAAAAGATTGTCGGGTATTGACTTGTCCATAAACGAATGGACTTCAGCATTCATGGTTTTTATGAGTGTTTACATTGAGAAATACAGGACTCGGGCACAGGAATTGTTAAAATATATGCGTGATATTAGATTAGCTGCAACGAGGTTAGAAAACTGAGCCACCTTGACGAGCAATTTAAGCTAAAAATAGAAAAGAATCCAAATTTATCTTGGGGAAAAATACACGGTGAATATTGGCTATTACACATCACATCTCCCACATATTATAATTAAATGCGGTTCCTTCAACCAACATACGTAATAAATCTCAAGACTTTTGATATGTTATTTCTACAACATTTTTCTTTCTAAAGCATCAAAAATAGTTTCTGTTGCAATTTCTATGAGGTCAAATCGTATATTGACTGGACTAACAGTACAAAACAAAACTTCAATGCAATCACAGGGTTATAGAACAAATACAAGTACACAAAATCGTGGTCATTATAATTCAAATGCAGCTACACTTTCCAACAATTACAAGAGAACAAATCAGCAATCACAGGTAACTAGTGGTAGTACAAATATGTCTTGTAAATACTACAATAATGGTACTGACTGTCCATACTTCCCTCATTGTAGGCCTGGTTTAAACTTGTATGTGAAATATGCAGTGGCAAACACAGAAAGTCCCAATGTAGTAACCTGGCACAAGGAAGAAATAACAAAAAGTATTAATTTTTATTCATTAGGAAATACTCCTGTTAAAGTATCTGTCTTGGAAAATTATTTAGAATTTTACCTACATAAAAATGTAGCACATGCAATTATATCTGGTTTCAGATATGGTTTTTCATTAAAATATTTTGGCTCCAGGGAACCAAGGGAAAGTTCCAATTTAAAAAGTGCAATACAGCTACCCAACATTTTTAAAGAAAACTTAATGAAGGAAGTTAAACTTGGTCGCCTCGCTGGTCCTTTCAGATTCCCGCCTTTCCCACACTCCAGGTATCACCAATGGGGCTAGTGCCAAAAAAGGATGGGGATTATAGACTTATTCAACATCTATCCTATCCTGAGAATAAATCAATAAATGATTTTATTAATAAAAACCATTGTTCAGTGCAGTACATTTCAGTGGACGAAGCAGCAAGTTTGATAAATAGACACAAAACATTTGCCCGTTTAAGCCAGTGTGATGTAAAGGCGGCTTTTCGCTTATTGCCTATTGCCCCGCAGGATTTTGACTTGTTGGGGATAAAGTTTCAGTGTGAATATTATCTTAATAAAATGCTTCCAATGGGGGCTTCAATCAGTTGCGCCCTTTGGGAGAAATTTGCAAAAGTTTTGCATTAGATAATATAGCAAATAAGTGGAAATGATAATACTCCATTATTTAGATGATTTTCTCTTTGTCGAGTCAAGCGAAGCATCAGAAGTTGGCAATACTTTGAAGATATTTCAAGAGGTATGCGATAAAATAGGTATTCCTCTTGCTAGTGACAAGACTACTTTGCCTACTACATTACTCACTTTTTTTGGGTATAGAATTTGATACGCAAAATTTAATCATGCGGCTTCCAAATGAAAAACTTGTCAAACTCACACAAAAAATCAGAGATACCTTAGACAGTTCTAAAATTACTCTTAAGGACATGCAATCTCTTCTTGGGCTCCTGAATTTTGCTTGCAAGGTGGTTGCTCCAGGCCGTACCTTCTGTCGCAGACTCATAAATTCAACAATGTGGGTAAGGAAATCATATTACAAAATTCGAGTAAACAAGCAGATGAAACCAGATTTAGAAGTTTGGTTAGACTTTTTAAAACAATACAATGGTGTCACTGTAATAACCGACAATGTATGGGTTTCAAACGAAAAAATGGAGTTGTTCACGGATAGATAGTGCAGTGGGGTCCAAAGGTGAGTATGGAATCTATTTCGAAGGTCAGTGGGCCCAAGGCATATGGCCAAAACATTAGGTTAAAACTGGAATAACCAGGGATATGACATTGTTAGAGTTGTTTCCAGTTGTAGCAGCACTTATGTCCTGAGAATCATATTTTCATGTTGATAATCAGGCGGTTATTCAAATCATTAATATGAAAACTAGCAAATCAAGTAGAGTTATGACTTTAGTAAGACAAATGGTTTTAATGAACTTAAAAAATAATACGTCAGTTAAGGCAATTTTTATCCCTTCGAAACAAAACCAAATTGCTGATTGTCTTTCTCGTTCTTAGTGGGGAAAGTTCAGAAGCCTAGCTCCAGAAGCAGACCAGTGGCCAACCCAAATTCCAACACAGATCTGGAATATTAAAGTCAGGTGGCGGATTATATTGTCAACCAAGGTGTGTCAAAAATACACAAAAATCATAAAAGTCGGCTCTGTCAAAACTTTGTAATTTTAGATCATCTTACAAATTGAAACAGCTATGGCCAGTGCTAGTCAATGATTTGCTAAATGTTATAGCTTTTTTGTCAGTACAAGGTCTTTTAGGGGGTACCATATCATCTTATATATCAGGAGTTTCATATCATCATAAAATACAAGGCATACAGGATACTACAAAATTCTTCATAATTGGCAAGGCATTAGAGGGAATAAAAAGAATTCAAGGAGGAAAACGCAATGACATTAGAGCATGTAAGAATAAATATGAAGCTGCTTTATATTCAGCAGTTTTTTCAGTTGCCTTCTTTGGTTTGCTTAGGGTAGGGGAAATCACTACTTCAAAAAATAAGTCTGTTATAAATGGCTCCAACTTAACAATTGCTGATATTTTAGTTAAGAAAAAAGTCCTGGAGCTGAGAGGAAGGTGGTCAAAAACTGACCAAAAGTGAAAGTCCGTTACTTTATTGATAGCCGGGAACAGAAAAAAACTACTGTTCGCTACGACTCACTAACGACTACTTAAAGGTACGACCTAGCTGTAACAATAAAGATTTTTTTTATACATTATAGATGCCAATTCAGCAGTATACTGGAAAAGGCTTTAAATTTCCTTCATATCAGTAAAGGTCATTTTAAGTCACATAGTTTTAGAATTGGGGGTGCCACTGAACTGGCCAGGCAGGGGGTCTCATAGGAGGTAATTATGAAATTAGGCAGATGGAAATCGCATGCTTATTCTCGCTATATTAGGCTGCAATTTTTCTAGTTACAAAAAGGCTAACGAGCGACAAGTTTTCACAGGTCCCAAGATTTTATGGATTGTTGGAAGTTCCCTTGTTCATTGGGCCAATGTAGAGGCAAAGAAATATGGTAGGACCAAACTTGGACTGGAGTCCAAAGGAGTCACAACATACTGGATTGGTCAACCTGGTTTACAGTTGAAAGATTTGGACTCCCTTCTGGATGCGAAAAGGAAATGTTTACCTTCTCCTAATTTCATGATTATTCGCTGTGGAGCTAATGATTTGACAGATTTAGAATTGACAGGGACGGGTTTAATTGAAAATGTAAAATGTTCTATCCTTCGTTACCAGGCTTTATTCAAAAATGTTATTATAATCTGGTCTTTAATGCTACAGCGCAGATACTGGCATTTTGCAACCTTAAATGCTGGTCCAATAATCGAACAGAAGAGGAAAAGAGTTAATTCAGTGGTCAAAAACTTTGTAATAGAAAATGGGGGAACGCTATTTTACATGAGAACATTAGTGCAAGGAAAGTGTCTTTATACAGAACAGATGGAATTCATTTATCACAAACTGGAAATCAGGTCTTAAATAATATACAAGGGGGTTGAGACTTTTCTTAGCACAACAAAATCTACTTTTCCACAACGCTTCAATAATTAAAATTTTATGGAGGTGAGAACCCAAGTCAGATCATTTGGTAGCTGACTTGGGCTCTCATGTGGCGGTCCAGGGAGCCTGGTAGTGATTGGGGGATAATTTCACTCGGCCCTTGCTATGGGCCTGACAAGTTCTTCAATTTGCAGGTTTGGACAATGTGGTTGGTGGTAACGGTGGGGTCTACAAATGAGTAACTCTGGGACCTCCTCCATCTCATCTTTTAGAGGGGAAGCCTACACCTGCCAACAGGTGGGGCACTAATAACTGGAGCATTGGTAATACGAGTGTTTTCCCCGGTCACTCCCCATGGTAGGTGGTGGTGTAACCGTGTTTAACTACCACGGGTTTTATGACACTATGTCAACATAGGTCAGCTGATAACCATTATGTATAGGTAATCGGTAGTCACCCTGGCGCCTCAACAAAATATAGAGTACTCTGTAGCCTAAGTAATGCCACAAAGTAAAAATGTATATTCTAGTCATGAAAATGTAAATACAAGTTGGTGTAATAAAATGTATGTTTAATTTGAATGATTGCTTTTGTATAAGTGGTAAAGGTTATCAATGCATAACAGAGGATGGAACCTCTACACAACTGAGTATAGTATACAGACAGCATGTAGTATTTTAATCTTGGTATCTGTGAATTACAATAACAACAAGCAAAGAGAGACAACTCTATAACAATTCTAATCAATTTGTGATTAAAGAAAAGACTTCATCGTAGTTTAGAAAACAACAACAACTCTTGATCGTTGTTTTTTATCTCATTATTATTCAATCAGTATTATTTTGGGGTCTTCTATGAGTATTGCAATTAATAGAGATTAGCAAAATTTTATATTTTCAATAATCTGGTTTAATTCAATCACATATTTGTGTGGGTGTTGCACTGTTTAGCTCATTGCCATGTATGGCATCGCTATAGATGGCGCTCTCACATGCAATTTAAATTTTGGAATTCCCGTAGCTGGCACTTGTTAATTTGTTGTCGACAACGAAGCAGGTGCTGCAGGAAATAGTTTATTTAATTAAAACCCGCCCACCCTCCCAAATGAGAATAGTTGCTGCTGTTTTTGTTTTATATTTTCAGGCACCAGTTTAATGTATTTGGTTGCTGTATTATGGTCGCCAGTATTTAAGCAGTTCCTCCATGGTATTGTACCAATACAGGATAGTTTGGAGTAAATTTGCGTTTCTGTGATTTGGCATTTCCTTTATTAAGCAGTTTATTTTATATGTACATATGGACTATTGTGATTTAAGCAACCAGAAAGAATTTTAGTTTATATTAATTACCAGTTTTATTATTTAAGAAGAAACCAAGACATTTTAAAGAAATTAATTTTCTTCTACAATCCTTAGGCTAAGAGTCAATTTTGAAAGGGGGAGGTCCAGGGAGACTGGTAGTGATTGGGGGATTATTTCACTCGGCCCTTGCTCTGGGCCTGACAAGTTCTACAATTTGCAGGTTTGGAAAATGTGGTTAGTGGTAACGGTGGGGTCTACAGATGGGTAACTCTGGGACCTCCTCCACCTCATCTTTTAGAGGGGAGGCCTACACCTGCCAACAGGTGGGGCACTAATAACTGGAGCATTGGTAATACGAGTGTTTTCCCCGGTCACTCCCCATGGTAGGTGGTGGTGTAACCGTGTTTAACTACCACGGGTTTTATGACCCTATGTCAACATAAGTCAGCTGATAGCCATTGTGTATAGGTAATCGGTAGTCACCCTGGCGCCTCAACAAAATATTATAGAATACTCTGTAGCCAAAGTAATGCCACAAAGTAAAAATGTATATTGTAGTCATGAAAATGTTAATACAAGTTGATGTAATAAAATTTAATTTGAATGATTGTTTTTGTATAAGTGGTAAAGGCTATCAATGCATAACAGAGGATGGAACCTCTACACAACTGAGTGTAGTATACAGACAGCATGTAGTATTTTAATCTTGGTATCTGTGAATTACAATAACAACAAGCAAAGAGAGACAACTCTATAACAATTTTAATCACTTTATGATTAAAGAAAAGACTTCAACATAGTTTAGAAAACAACAACAACTCTTGATCGTTGTTCTTCATCCTATTGTTGTTATTCAATCAGTATTATTTTAGGGTATTCTTCTATGAGTATAGCAATTAAACGAAACACTAATATGATATACATCAACAAACTACAACCACTGAATCACATGCTCTTACAATATGTTACATAAATACAGATAGTTTTGGTGCAAAATGTTGAATAAAATCATAGGAAACATTAAACAGAATAGCTGTAACTTATCCTTATTTCTCGTAGGTACTTAAGAAAATGGTATATTGCAAATATTTGTAAACAAACTAAGCAGTCATACCAAATCTTCTTATTTATATAAGTTTATTTTCTCATTTGAATTGTTTTACATTTGGCATTTCGGGGCCTTTTATTGCTACCTATGCGGAATGGGTTTTGCTGATTGTTGATGGCCGTACGGTGACCTATAGTTATTTAAAACTTTTACGACATTTGGTGCCTGGTGGAGAGTTGTCTCATTGTCAATCATACCACACCTTATTTTTATAGAAATCTTTATGAACCATTCAACTGTATATCAAAATGTGTATGTTAAACTCCGATCGAAATATGGTTTCTAATGAACTTCCATTCTTCAAATTGGAGTTCAATCTGATGTCAAATTGAAGCCCACATTTGTATCCTCTATTATCTGTCCAATAAGAGTACTTTATATTACTGTAATATAGTTCAATTAGAATCTCCTCTTATTGACGCATGATATAACTTTTACTTTTCATTCCCAGTTCTGTAGTGATCTTTTGCCCTCTTTTTATTCAGCCTAAAAATGAAAACGACCCATTATAAATTACATGCGTTAGAAGAGCTTTTCTAGATTTACCTTCATCAGGAAATCCGAATATTTGAAAGCCGAGGTTGCATAAGAACCGAAACATTTGAAGAGCTTATGATAAAAAAAGTACTAAAAAATATCAAAATCCACCTAAGTTCAGCTTTCCTGGAAATAGACAACTTGACAAACTAAAGTATCATAATTGAGTTAACTTTAACGAAACTAGTGGCAAAAGAGACAATATCCCAAAACGAAAATTTGATAGTAGGAAAATAGTTCATGGTTTATTGATGACACAGTAGATTATATAAACATTAATATTTTGCATACAGAAAACATTGATCCAGTTTTTTTCTTGTCTGTCATTGTACTCCTTTACTCACTCAGTTCGATTCTTGGTTGTGTCAACTCAATGACTTGTAAACTGCCAATTGTTGCTGATTCTTCATCAACCAAATATGTGATAATAAGTGATATGTCTTAATAGGGTGATATTCTGCATCTGGACTGATATGGTGCAAGCAAGTTAAGTTAAAAATCTGACTGCGTGCCGGTCTAGTTCAAGACAGGGTATACGAATTTTTCATTACTAGTTTCTGTTTTCATACATCATTGGCTTTCATAGACTCAGCTTTGAGTGTCCTGATAAAGATAAATCCAGAAAAGAGCTTCGGAAGCATAACATTTCTTAATTGCTATATTTGTTTTTTTTTTAAATGTCCTGAATAAGCCTGTAGTGTTTGTAACTGGGTTTTAAATCAATCTAAGAAGGGCCCTTTTTAAATATTTAAAATAAATAGTTTATGATGAAGGAAATAAAGTGATTAAAGATCGTCGGAGCCGATCAATAACAACACTTTAACTAGATAACAAAAATATAGCAAGAAGATGAACAGATATTATCACATCAAAATATCAGATAACGACTATTATTTTGCCTCATCTTAAAAAGTAAGGTACAAATATAAATGATTTGATTATGTGGTGGTCCAAATTATTAGAAATTGTATTCATAAAAATTATACCGACTTTTTGTAAATGTGTCGGTTGAGCATATTTTAAAAGTTTTACTTGGGATTCGTATCTTCAGTATCATTGAATCAGTTATTTCCAACTATGATGTCATTCAAATAAATCCAGAAAAAGGAACGTCGATTAGAGAAGACAGCTTGAATGACAAATTTAGACATCCAAAAAGACTTTGATCGTGTAGGCATTTTAGACGGGATCAGATTTGGCTGTTTATTTGGAATCGTATTTCATCATGACGTCAGTTTTGACTCCAATTAGAGGAACACAATTCTATTTGAGACTGGACATTCGTCTGAGTCATACATATATCTAAAAACGAATAATATAAGTTTGTTTTCAAATAATAGGACCTGACGGATGCATGTTTTTCAAAGTCGGAACAAATACTTCCCCTTTTGGCTAAAGTTCGTGTTGTATTGAAGTCATCATCAAAACTGGAAAATAAACTAAGCTATTTTTTTAAATATATAACATTTAAGAGTAAGAAAAATATATCAAAATGCATTGTAAAATATCAGCTGCATTCATATATGAGGCACTTTTGTGGAGATAATTGTATGAGTATGCAAAAAAGAAATCTCTTATCGCCAGTTTAGAACAATAACCTTTGCCTTTAATAAGACGAGTCAATTAATGTTTTGCCACATATACACCTAATGTATCATTCTAATTTAAAACACATTTGGATTGCTGCAAAATATCAAATCAATATCTTTTTAACATCTGCGTAGTAGATCAACTTAATAACCTAATGGGCCAATTTCGTTAGTTTTTCAGAGATCATAGGACTGTTAATTAACTATGTGTAAATATCTATGTTTGATGAATTGTATGTGATGCCATCAGGGATGATAAGTTTGTAACTGACTGCGTGAACTGAACTTACCCTCTGAATAAATAAATTATTATTATTATTATTATTATCCAATTTTTTCAGCTAGCTATTTTGATATATTCACATGGATATAACAGGAAATGTCCACATTCATCACAGTGGAAATCCACTTCAAGATCTTATGGATGTGCAGACCAAAGAATGTATATATGCTTATTGAATGGATTAAAATCAAATAATACAAACACTGTATACACAGAAACGTGTGGCCTTGAAGAGGTATCAAGAGAAGGTAAGATATCTTACTTACTTACAGGTGCGATAAGGACTTTTAGCGATCTACATATAAACATATATATATACAGATGTATGACTGGCATTTTTGTAATTTACATATTTGGACTGTCACAGATATTACTGAGTTGGGAAATTCACTTAGAATGAGCCCATCTATTTTTATAGAGTAAACCTTCATTTAAAAGGTCGGAATAATGTTTATAGAAATCATCTTATTTCAAGCAATTGAAACATGTTGAAATTTTCCTGTTTTCCAAGTTCTTGGTCTCTACCGTGTTTTTATGATTGAAATAGCATGTGTTTGTTACGTAGCTAGCAGGAAAATGAGAACAGGAAAATTATTTAAAGATTAGATATGATATTCAAACTTTTCCATGATAATATCTAATGAATATACTAATTAAAACTGTACTTATCAATTGAATGAAGTTAAAAATGAGGTTTTCCATGGTAAAATTTCAAAAGTAATAAACGTAAAACAATATTTTGAGTCGAATAACAGCTTACATATGCTTGTGAATACAAAGGAAATATTTTCATTATAATCCCTTATACATAATTGTTATCATGGTTATAGGGCATATGCAGAACAATCTCGACAACAATAAAGATAACAGAATGGTCCGCAGGTTAGGCTATATGTTTTTTCTAGGTAATCTGGATAAATAAAACTATCATTCGGTCTTGTTACACTACTATTTCAGGTTGGTTAGGGTGAAGGTTGGCGCCTGTTAAAACTTGAAACCCGCAGCATGTGTTTGCACCTGTCCTAAGTCAAGAACCTGTTGTTTAGTGGTTGTCGTTTGTTGATGTGGTTCATAAGTGTTTCTCTTTTCTCGTTTTTTATATAGATTAGACCGTTGGTTTTCCTGTTTGAATTGTTTTACACTAGTCATTTTTGGGCCCTTTATAGCTTGCTGTTCGGTGTGAGCCAATGCTCCGTGTTGAAGGCCGTACTTTGACCTATAATGGGTGAATTTTACAAATTGTGACTTGGATGTAGAGTTGTCTCATTGGCACTCATACCACATCTTCTTATATCTATAGATAGGCAAAGGGGTGTGTTAATTCAGATGTAAATCCGGTTTAAATCCATCACATGTTGTGCTATTACCAAGTCAGGGTATTTGTTCATAATTATTTGTTCACATCATGTAAAACTGTTAAAACCCATCACATGTTGTGCCATTACCCAGTCAGGGTATTTGTTCATAATTATTTGTTCACATCATGTAAAACTGGTTTAACTCCATTACATGTTGTGCCATTACCAAGTCAGGGTATTTGTCCATAATCATTTGTCCACATCATGTAAAACTGTTAAAACCCATCATATGTTGTGCCATTACCAAGTCCCGGAATTTGTTCATAATTATATGTCTTTTTTGTGTTTGTCTCTTTTGTCTGAGGAGTTGTTTAAAAGTATAGTCTGTTGTCAATGTCAATACATGACTTGTTGGCAAACCCTGTTGTGGGTATACTTAATAGATATATAAGAATACTACAGATTCCCTCTGTCATTGCAGCAACTTACTGCTCTTAATCGGACAGCCATTTTCGTTGGGGTTTATTATATTATTATTTTATACATTACTAGAACACAACCACGACATCGCGTGTCCGTGACTGAATTAAATGACCTATGCCTTATGTTTAGCCTGGATTTATAGTATTCGTATTGTCATATGATAGAGTCATGCTGATCGTAAGGCGCACAGTTTCCTCTGATTTAAAAATCTTTCTAATTGAACCCGTCCTGGTTTTCTTACTACAATAAACTTACTATAAATATTTTTTTTAATTTGTTAACTTTTACGTTGGTTACTGATGCAAA